GGTAGAGGGGCAACGCGCCGGCACGGAATTCAGGCCACGAAATCCAGGCCTGGGAATCCAGGCATCAACCAAACTTCCGTCCCCCACACCGCACGTGACCGGCGAGCGACACAGCCCGGCTCACCCATCATCCTTCGCTTGGACGCACAGGCTGAGGAGCCCTCCTCGCCCTCAGTATCAGCCCTGCCGCCCGCCTTCTTTGAAGCGCGGTTCAAGTCGAGGCAACGCAGCAAGTCGTATTGACGAATCAACAGCACGTCCATACGCTCCTACGTGGCGGTATGTATATATGTATGTGCGTATGCGAGCGCTCACGTTAGTACAGGTCAGCCTCGTGAGACGTGTGAAAGGCAAGTACAAGTCCAGCAGGGAAGAAGGGGAATACCCCAGGCGATGTGCGGGATGGGTAATGGGGTTGGAGCATCCAGTACCGAAACGGACGTCTGTAACGTGACGCACGTCTGTAACGGCCGTATGTATGTTTGTCGATATCCACGCGTGGTGGTGCGAAGTGCGGGGCTTGGGTCAGGGCAGGACGGTGACGCAGGCAAATCGTGTATGGGGAGGACGTAAAACAGGACTACAAGGACCTCACGCAGAACTAGCCAGGACACCGCGCGGACGAATCGGAATCGGGACACGGCTGTTGCTGTTGCTGCTGCTGCTGCTGCTGCTGCTATTGCCACGAGCCGCACCTGCTGCACACTGCATGCTGTGATTCCGCGCTAGAACTAAAACCTGAACCCTTTTCCCCCCAAGCGCACCTTCTCCTCCTCGAGCCGCTTCATGGCCTCCGCCAGGTTCCGATTGGCGGCCTGTGCGAGCAGCCAACGGAGTCGCGGCATGACTTGCTGCGTTGCGTTGCGTTACGTTACGTTGCGGCTCAATGTGTGTAGCAGCACGAGAAAAACAGTTGCGGATCATCATCATAATAATAATAATCATCGACAGCAGCAGCTTCATGCGAGACGGACGTCCCACAACGTGTCATGCACCTCCGCTGCCCCACCCTCACCCTCACCCTCACCCGCCCAGCCGTGACCTCCAGCCGGGTATGTATCAGTCAGTACTACACAGCTACACGGCGCAAGGAGGTAGAGAAACACGTTCCAAGGGAATCACCAAGGGAAAGGGACACCAAAGAAGGTTTGGACGGCCGAAAAAGGAAGAACGTCAACACTCCTCGGGATTTTTCGTACCATGGTTTCTTCCAGCAGCAGCTTCGCTCGCTTGAGCGACGCGATGGCCACCAGCAGCAGCACCGAAACCACCAGGGCCATTAACAACACCGCCACCACGAGGGGCACTTTCCAAGCGGGTGCGAAGCCGCCAGCTGGGACGACCTGCACCGGGATGAAACGGACCGGATCGGACCGACCGGAACCCCGGGATACGACCCCTTTTTTTTCTCAGGACCACAACTCAGATAGGGACAAGCATCTCAACACTCATACATATGGCGAAATTACTGACCACTAAAACGCATATACAGTGTTATTATCCAGGACCAGGACCTCTACAGTGTGTGGTCCTGCAGTCCTTGCCTGCAGCTCTTTATCAGAGTTTCAAGAAAGAAGCAGAACCAGCGTGCGCATTTATTTTCTGAAATTCTCACTCACCCTGAGCAACCACACGCTGTTTAGTGCCTTGACCTCCACGGTAACGGAGTCCTTGCCGTGCAGAGCCGCGGGGCCCACCTTCGCAATGACCTCCTCGTGGGTGTCGTTGATGGGGCGAAGCAGCGTATAATAGAAACCCTGTTGGGTTTGGCGGGAAAGGAGGAGAAGGTGAGGAACGAAGATCGAGCCTGATTGGATTTGGGACAGGAGGAGCGATCCCCTACTACCGCAATCACTGAGCAGGTGAGATGCGGGCGTGGCCTGGCATGGGCGCCCGCAATCCGCCGCCACCCTTGCCCACCCTTGCCCAACCACGGGGTTTCGGATGTGCATGACCTGTGCAGCCGCACCAACCTGATCTCAGGCCTCTTCCCCCCAAATCCAAGTTCCCCCGGCGTCAGATTGTTAAAGGGCTTTTTTCCCCCGTACCTGTTTCCTCAGGCGGGCCAGATACGCATCGTCCCCTACCGCCACCGCCTCGTAGTTGATCACCAGGGTCATAAGGCCCCACCTGGACAGCAGCAGCAGCAGCGGCGGCAAATGCAGCAAGGCAGTAGCAGCAGCAACAACAGCAACATAGCAATCGCAGCAGCAAGCGCAAGGTAAAGATAATAAGGCGCAGCAACCCTAAGGAGCAGGAGCAGGGGCAGGAAGGGCCCAGATGACTCGCGGCACCACTCCACCACCACCACCATGACTCGCGGCCACCGCAAAGCTGTAGAGCAGCTAGCGGCGACGGCCGCGGCGGCGGCTGCGTTGGAACTGGGTTCGAGGAGGAGGAGGAGGAGGAGGAGAAGTACAAGAAAGCAGCGACCGCACCTATACGCACGCCAGCCTATGGTGGCTGTGGCGGCAGTGGCACACGCACACACACACACGCACGCACACACACAGGCGCTTCTACTTTCAGCAGTAGGGCCCCCTTTCCGTTAAAAAGGGCCCCAGGGGCTTTCCCTCTCCCTTTCCCTTTCCCCTCCATTCCGCACACGCACCACTTCTCCCGGGAGGTGGTGTTGTAGCAAATCCCGCACTCGCGAACGCTGGAAGGCAACTCCGAGTAGGCGAGGGCGGAGGCATTCTCACGATACCGGAAACCAAACGTCTCCTGGGCGGAGACGTTGGCTGCGGCCATGGGAGGGTAGGAGGCGCGGAA